CCTTCTTCTTCTAACCTCTCCTCCAAATCACGTGTCGAAACAGACTGCACGTGATTTGGAAACCTTTCTAACAAAAGTTTCCGCTGCCCTGCTCTTCTTTACCCTTTCTTCGACTTCGGATTCTAGAAAGGGCTCACAATTTAGACATGTCATCAAGGCAAATTTCATTATCCTAAAGCGTAATGGGTTCCCATCCACCACAAACCACATTTCATTTCTTTTTTTACATTTAACAGAGTGCAACAAAAGATAATGTGTTGCCTGCCCCCAGAATCCCTTATTCTAATTCTCGCCTAAGTCCACAAAGTGACCAAAACAACTACTTTTGAATTGGTCCATAACTCTCTCGTGCCCACCAAGAATCGCCTTTATTCTCGTAAACACTTGCCAACTTGACCTTATTGTCACCCTTGTGGGGAAGTATAGTATAGTATCCATAACAACCTCCAACCCATACTCTTTATAATTTATGCTTCTACCAATGTTTTAAAACCCGATCTGGTCCGACTGGTTAAATCGGTTCGATCGAGAACTAGCCTTTAAGCCAGGTCAGGCTGGCCCCAAAACCAGGAATGTATATTCACCTAGTTTGACCCACGGTTAGACCCGGGTTATTGTAGCAACACAATGGTCCAACCGATTTTGGGAGAAAACCAGGTAAACACTTAACCCCAAATTTCAACCCTTAAAAACCAAATTTCTTTCTGTTTTTCCCCATATTTGGGTTCTCTATCGAGCCCTAACCCATTTTTCTCCCTTCCATTTACGATTTCTTCATTTCGTCTCTTCAGTTCTTCCTTCATTTCACGGCAGCACATTCGTTTCACTTCATTTTCTTTTTGCTGGGTTCATTGGAAGAGTTTAAAAGGTGGGGTGAGGTGCTTAGTAAGGTGGGTTGGGGGTGCATGCTGTTTTTATTTTTTTTTGGTTTTTCTGTTGATTTTCTTTTTAGATTCTTCCCATGTGTGGTCCTACGGCTGTTGGGCTGATTGGTGGTTTGGGACTGAGTGTTTTGTGGCCTGCTATTCTGACCAGTCATGCGTGTTTGATGTGAGGAGGGTGGCATTTTCTCTAGTTGGTTATAGTTGTGTGTTGGTTGAGTGTGATGCAGTAGGCAGCTACTATTGTGGTTTTGAGGAGGGGTTGTTGTAGCTATTTTCTACTTGATTGGGCTGGTGTGTCGCCTGTTTTATGCTGAGTGGTTGGTTGTTGCCATAGGCTAGTGTGCTACGCTAGTTCAACTTTAATTTTGCTTCTCCCTCTCATAAATTTACACGAAAGAAGATTGAGGAAGAATTTTTAGAAAGTAAACTCTGCTTCTCCCATTTTCTTCTTCTCACCCACGGCTCACTCTCAATTATCTCCTTCTCCTTTCAACTTCAAATAATGCAATCCTTTTATTATTATTTTTAAAAAAAAAAATCTTTCATTTTTTATAAGCTTTGACAAAACCATAGGTTGAAATTGTGCGCTGCCATCACAAAAATTTATTTTGATCCAACATAAAAACAGCAAATATCTCATGCACCCCTGGTTTTAATGAAATGTTTTTTAAAAAATATATGCAATTTTTATGTTGACGTCAACATGATGGCGTCATCGGTTGAACCAACAAGTTCAACCGGTTTAACCGACCAACCCGGGACCTAGTTGATTCAACTGGTTTAACCAGCCAACCTGAGACCCGGCCAGTTTGCCAGGTTTCATCCCAGGTTTGTTATTAAAACATTGGCTTCTACAACACTGCACAATCGATATAAACTAAATATCAGCACAAAAAGAAACCAAAACAACCAATAGGCTACCAATCTAAGGGATATGGGCTTGGAGGGCATCGAGAATGGGTGTTTTTGGCTTTGAGAGATCGGCGAAGCCAAGGCAGGCCCTGCAGAGGCTGTTGTGGCAGGTTGGATGGTTGGAGATGGTTGGGGGTGGCAAAAGAGTGTGGAATAAAGGGGTTGGGGACTGCCCTGCATATTGTAGGGCTAGCCACGCATGTAGCTGTGCATGACCAGCTCTGGAATATGCAAGGCAGCCCCCAACCCCCCTATTCCACTCTCTCCTGCCAAATCCAATCCTCCAACCTCCCACAAACAACCTTCCTAGGGCCTCTCTTGGCTTCCCCGGTCCTCTGCAACCAAAAACACCCACTCTCTCGATGCCCTCCAACTGCTCAACAAAATGCAACAATCATTCTAACAACCAACACCAACCAAATATCCCCAAATTGGCACCAACAACCAATTATTTCATAAAATAGTAAGGAATATTACCTGTTCTTCCTCCTCCTTGTTGAAATTTGCGTCAGCATCCTCGTCTTCAAACCCATTTTGGAAGCCTGCCATCTCTTCTTCTACTCGCGTGGTGTCTTCTGTCGGCGGCATTTCCTCTGCCGGTGGAACAACTTCAGTCATCAGAAGTTGCTCCACCGATACCTCTTCTTCTCCAATCTTTGATCAACCACCAGAGTCTAGAATTTTGAGAGGGGCTAGGTTTTTCTTAGATTCTTTGTTAATCTCAACCATTGTTTGTTTGTAACTAACAGGGGAATNTTCAAGTGAGTAGAGATTTCTTTTAAGTATACATATGTTATGGTTATTGAGAAATTGAGATGAGATTGATGATGAATTATGCTTGTTGTTGGATATATTTGAATATGAGAAGTGTATGTGATGGTTTGATGATGGGTTGAAATTGTAAGATTTGTAGTAATTTTTTGGAGTGTGTTTGCCTTGTAGGTATGGTGATGCTACAAGAGAGATTTTCTCTCATTTTTTGATGGTTGAGAAACAAATTGAATGATAATTAAATTAGGGTTTGTTTATGCACAAGTAATATTTGATGAAATGCCTAAGAGAAGTATAAGTTTGAGTAGAAACCTTAATTTTATATAACATTGCATATTTGCATTTCATGAGTGCATCCAAGTAAAAATTTCAAGCATGAGCCATCCATATGCGTATAATTGTGTATGTGTAGAAATTTAAGAAAAAATAGAGAATAAAGACATAAAGAATAAAGAATAAAGCAAGAAAGAATAAAACACTCTAAGAATAAAGAGAAAGGAAGAATAAACATTAAAGAATTAAGGAGTGGTAAAGAAGAGAAAAGAATAGGTTCTTGTGATGGGGAACCGTGAGTGCTAAAAAGAAATTTTCACATACACGCCACCTTAATTGAGTGGCATAAGAAGAAGAAGAATTGTACGACCCGTAAGAGTGTATGTGGATGAGGGTTGTACCAAGAAGAATTCTTGCATGCACACCATCTTAATTGAGTGGCATAAGAAGAAGAAGAATTGTACGACCCGTAAGAGTGTATGTGGATGAGGGTTGTACCAAGAAGAATTTCCTACATGCACGCCACCTTAATTGAGTGGCCTAAGAAGAAAGAATAATTTGTACGGTCTGCAAGAGTGCATGTAGATGTGGACTGTACTCACTCACACAGCCAAGGTTCCAAATCCATACATCAACCGAGACCGATCGGCAAAGAATAAGAGAGAAAAAGAAAGAATAAGAATGAGAAAAGAAAGAATGAGAAAGAATAAGAATAAGAAAGAATGAGAAGGCTTGAACAAGCCAAGAGAAGAAAAGAAAAGAATAGAAAGAAATAGAACAAGAAAATGGAAATAAGAAAGAAAAAGCATTTTATGCATTATTGCATATGCATTTTATTCATGCATATTGCCATGAATTTCATCATAGTTAGGAAGAATAGAAAGAATAAGAAAGAAAGGACAGAGAGAAATAGAAAGAAAGAAAAGAACAGTGAGAGTAAGAAACAGAGGAAGAAACAGTGAAAGAAAAGAGAAGGAATTAAGTAAGGAAAGAACCAAAGAATGAGAAGAGTTAATAGATTTACTTACTGAGCATTTTTATGCTCACCCCGTTGTTTTTCCATGTTTTTGCAAGACATAGGTGAGCAGCGGTCGGAGGGACATCGACAAGCGGAGAGGATTGGCATTACTATCCACCGTTGCTAAGTTTTTGTACTGGTTATTTTGATATATGTAAAGAATTATGTTTTGTAAGTAAAGAAAAATTTGGGCCTAACTATTTTCATATACTAAGTATGTATGTTTTATTGTATATGTTATAAAGAATACTAGTAGAAAGAAGTCATTACACTCCTGCCAAATCCAACCCTCCCACCTCCCACAAACAACCTTCCTAAGGCCTCTCTTGGCTTCCCCGATCCTTTGGCAACCAAAAACACCCACTCCTCCGATGCCCTCCAACTGCTCAACAAAATGCAACAATCACTGTAACAACCAACACCAACCAAATATCCCCAAATTGGCACCAACAACCAATTATTTCATAAAATAGTAAGGAATATTACATGTTCTTCCTCCTCCTCGTCAAAATTTGCGTCGGCATCCTCGTCTTTAGACCCATTTTGGGAGCCTGCCGTCTCTTCTTCTACTCGCGTGGTGTCTTTTGTCGGCGGCATTTCCTCTGCCGGTGGAACAACTTCAATCATCATAAGTTGCTCCATCAAAACCTCTTCTTCTCCAATCTTCGAACAACCACCAGAGTCTATAATTTGGAGAGGGGCTAAGTTTTTCTTAGATTCTTTGTTAATCTCAGCCATTGTGTGTTTGTAACTAACAGGGGAATCTGTCTTCAATCCAAAGAGCAAAAGATTGAAACAATGCCGGAAAACAGGAAGGAAAATTGCAAGAGAAATGGCTGGTGTTCGTCAGGTCACTTAAGCCATTTGAATGGGGGTGTTTGTTTTAATTTTCAAAATTTAAAGCAATTTCAGTTTATTATACTATCACCTATATATGTTGAAATCCTTGCACTCTAACCCTTTTTGAATCTTTAATGATACTTAAGTGTCCCATGTCACTTTTTCAAACTTAAAAAAAAAATTCAAAACATTTTCAAGGTTATTTTTTCTTTCAATTGCAAACTTGAGAAGTCACTACAATTGAATTTCCTCGCAGAACATGCATTGAAAACAAAATCTCGTCGCCTTCTCCCATTGAAAACATGCTTTTGGCAAACACTCAATTTACCTGCATTCCCAACTCAACAAAATCAATAGAAAACTTCAACACAACCTCTAAATCTCGTCACCTTCTCCCATTGTTCAAGGGTTGCACGCATTTAGTCCAATTCAAGCAAGTCCATGCCCAAATCATCAAAACTTCATTTAATAATAAGACTATCACCGAAACCCAACTAGCGAAGCTCATAGAATCTCTAGTGAACTCATCCCAAATTGACTACGCGCGTTTAGTTTTGAATCAAATAGTTAACCCATCGACTTTTGCTTTTAACACCATAATTAGAGGCTACGCAGAAGCTGGTTTAGGCCATGAAGCTATTCGACTTTATATCCAAATGAGATGCAAAGGGCTAGAGCCCGATAATTTCACTCACCCAATTCTTTTAAAGGCTTGTGGTAGCCTTAAACAAGGCAAAGCTGTCCACTCACTTGTTGCCAAGAATCAAGATTTTAAATCGGAAATACACTCGTTGACTCGTTTGATCACGTTTTATTGCGGTTTTGGCGATATTGATTCCGCCCGGTTACTGTTTGATAAAATGGCAGATAGAAATGTGGTCACGTGGACTGCAATGATTAATGGTTATGTTAAGCAAAATAGGTACAAAGAAGGAATTGACTTGTTTTATCAAATGAGAAATTGTGGGGTTGAGATAAATGAGCTGACTTTGGTATCTGTATTATCAGCTTGTGCTAGCCTTGGTGCTTTGGAGATGGGGAAATGGGTGCATAGATTTATTTATAAGAATAGAATTTTTTTGAACCATAAGCTTGGTGCTGCTGTTATTGACATGTATGCAAAATGTGGGTACATTGACGAAGCTTCAAATGTTTTCAAGATTGTTCCTGAGAAGAGTGTTTGTACGTGGAATTCTATAATCGGAGGGCTAGCAATGCATGGTTCTGGAGAGGAAGCGCTGGAGAGGTTCTATGAAATGCAAATGAGTGGGATAAAACCGGATGATATTACATTGATTGCCGTTTTGTCTGCTTGTACTCATTCAGGCCTGGTAGAGAAAGGGAAGGAGATTTTCTGTAAGATGAGAAGTGGTTATGAGATTGAACCAAACATTAAGCATTATGGTTGCTTTATAGATCTTCTGTGTAGGGCAGGGCTCTTGGATGAAGCTTATAAGGTTGTGAGAAACATGCCAATGGAACCGAATGCGGTTTTGTGGGGAACATTGTTGACTGCATGTGCTGCTAATTCTAATGTTGTCGAGTTGAGTGAGACTGCAATGGAACATCTAATCAAGTTAGAACCATTCAATGATGGAAATTATGTTCTCATGTCAAATATATATGCAGCAAATGAACGATGGGACGATGTGGCTAAGATGAGGAGACTTATGAAAGAGAGACGGATTGAAAAGAACCCTGGCTGTAGTTTAATTGAGATAAATAATGTTGTGCATGAGTTCATGGTTGGGGATGGCAGGCACCCGCGTTCTGAAGATATTTATTCCATGTTGGAAGATGTTGCCATAAGCTTAAGAGAGGAAGGTTATACTACGCAGATGCATCCAATTATCAACGACGAAAACAAGTTCCAAACCTTTTGGTCTATTTGGTAGACTATAACTCACCCACCCTATGTCTTGCGACTTGCATTGTGATTTGTCAGATTGATTCTGGGTGTCACGGACTTAAACTGACACTGAGATAACCAAAACATAAACCCACACTATTTCCATCGTGTTGCTGATTTGGTTTTCACATTTACAAGAGCGGTTAGTCGTTCAAATCAGGATTCACGATCATCTTGTACAGACCTTCTTGTGAATGATGGATTTACATTTCAGTATGACATCGGCCAATTACTATTTCAAACATTTGTTCGAACTGCCAGGATACTAATATGAATAAAAATTTTAATTGATTTCTCCAACATCTGCTCTGCGTACCCTCTACAGATGGATAAACACTTAAACAGCATGTCTTAATGCATCGAAACAGTAATACGATGGAATGAAATCATACTGATGAACAGAGGAAAAGCCAATCAGAACTCAGAAGACAATTGTCCGGTGGGTACGTATCCCCGTTTCTTTACTTAGTTGGTTTCTCATGTACCGGACAATTGTCTTCTGAGTTCTGCACATGAGAAACTAACTAACAAATCCAATCATATTAGGTCATTTGGCAGATCTCAGCAACCAATTTATAATGCAGAAAATGGTTCAACATTAACCACAACCATTATTGAATAGACAGATCAATGAAGCTGCTGCATTTAGTATAACACAATCTATATCGAAAAGTAGACTCAAATAATGTTTTTCATATTGAAAAGCACAATACTAAGGGTGCAATCATGTAAAAATAACTAACAAAAGGTAATTTGGCAGTTCAATTTAAAACCATATTCCAAGTGAAACTTAAGAAGTAGATTCTAGGCGACTACATAGAACCATTTCACCAAAAACAGACATTAAATCAACAGATTGAAAGACTAAAGACTCAGCAAAATTCCTAGTTCATCCTCTGTGCGGCTTCCTTTGCAAGAAGTCTTTCCTTGGCCTTGGTTTTTGCCTGTGATTTGGAGCCCATGATACCACCTCCCCATTTCTTTCTCAACTCATCATATTTGTCATTAAAGTTTGCCTGAAATAAAATCAGAAACATTTTCATTATTTCTATCATATAATCATATTAAGAACAAAAAAATTAAGAAGACAAATTTGTAGCATGTGCAAACAATTATCCTTCTAAAACAATGCAGCTCCAGCATACCTTGATGGCTTCTAGGATCTTGCTAAACTCCAGCTTGTCCTCATTCTTGACTGTGGTCAAACACAAGACAGAAGCTGTCTTCTTGTGGACAATCTGCAACAGAAATGTAAATGTGATTGATTCTTCAAAATCATGAAATCAATAGAAGTACAAATTTCACACAGCTATTACCGATCCTAGACGCGATTTCCCTTTCACAATACAGTAAGGGATCTCCATCTTTCTGCACAAGGCAGGAAGCCAGACAACCAACTCTATTGGGTCCACATCATGTGCGATGACAACCATTTGTGCCTTGTTCTGCAAAGAAAATACCAGGCATTTTAATCATTTTCAGATGCCTTTGGGTAAGGCATGCAGAGTTTATTGAAGGACAGTGATACTATGTGCATTGAAACTGATAAAACAATTAGCCAAACCTGCTCAATAAGATAGGTGACATGGTTAAGACCATATTTCACAACAATAGGCTTCTTAGCCTCAACAGTTTTTCCTTCGGCCTCTGCCTGAGCCCTCTTCAAAAGACGTTCCTTCTTGGCAGCTTTATCCTCAGGCCTGTACTTCAGAAGCAACTTGAAGAGACTTGTAGCTGCAAAGAGAATAATACACATACCACAGTTGTTATTATAATTTTAACTAGTCAGAAATAAATTTGAAGAAAAACTTCTTATTACACAAAGATCAAAAGGCTCAGAGTTGATTAGAAATAATGCATTTCACATACAGTGCAAGAACTGGCAAAATGTATATGAGTGAAAGTAAACAAACAGGGATCTATCCTATAGAGCATCATCCATCCACAGGTGGTTAAATCATAAAGTGAAAAATACTATGAAAGCCAGCAGTAACAAAAGCAATCCCATACATCAATACAAATACAAATAACAAACTGAAAAAACAAAACAGTTTGATCTTACCAAGATTCTTGTCCAAGGTCTTGGTGAACTGGTTCAAAGCAGGTGGCACCTTCAACCTCTGTCTAAGTATCCTTCGCTGCCTCTGAATACGAATTGCCTTGGGCCACTTCACATAACGGTGAAGATCTTTCTTTGGAGGCAAGGCCCCTCCAATACCAAACTGCTTTGGTCGCTTCTCAAACAAGGGATTAACGACCTTTTCCTGAAATTTCAACATCAACATGACAGTAAGTAAAGAAATAAAATAAAAAAAACATACTGCACAATAACTAACTTATCATAAATTCATAATCAATACCGGCTTCTTCTTGGCTGGTGCAGCAACTTTTCCTCCTCTCTTTGGAGCCTGAAACACAACACGTGTAAGAGATAAACAAGCCCCACATCCATACTCACAGACTCCACAACCGCTTAAGGTATATTCATTCAAAATATATATGTCAATTCTACAGAAAAGTTTTCAATATAATTTCACAGCATGAACATGTAGTATACCTATGATTAAATTACTTTGTCACACTATAGTTACATGTAGATCTTATCTATAGTATTTTAACATGACATAAAGTAATTTGCATCTAAATTTTTTAGAAACAAATTATCAAAAAAACATGTGTAGTTAATTAAATTCTTCAGATCTTCATTTTTATTGATGGTAAACATTCAATCTTCTCATAAAAATTCAACTACGTAAAACATTTGGCTATCTAACAACTTAGTTCGCAGCAACAAAGCTTATGCAACAATAATAAACGTATCTAAACTGAACCAAGGTCAAGTAGTAAGCATCAAAGAGATGGTAAAAACATGGTGAGCGAGTTAGGTTTACAGATTTACTAACCATTTCGTGCCGCTTCTAGTCTTGGCTTGTGGTTTTTGAGAACGGCGAATGAAAAACCCTAGCCAGGCCACTCTTAGTGAAATAGCTGGAAGACTAGAAGAGGTTTTTTATAGTTAGGTTAAGGCCGTATATAAGTGTGGCCACTTTCGTAATTTCAATCAACATTGTGGCGCAAAGGAACTACGTTCGTGGGCCGGGCTAGGTTTGGTTTGAGCACACCAACCATGTTTCTTTATTTTTAAGAGGTGTTAAAGTGTTACTTGTTTTTAATTTTTCATAATCCATTTAGGGTTCGTTTGTTTTATTATTTTTGATAGGATTTTAGAAATAATATTAGATAGTTAAATAAGAAAGTATTACGAGGTAAAATTTAAAAATTTATAAAAAACCCCATAGGCTTGCTAATTTAATAAACACCCCAAATATAAAAAAAAAAATTAAATGACAAAAAAACTCCCACCATTCTCAGTGCCAAATTCCGGCCACCACCATCGGAATCTGATCAGAAAATTGCATTACACCACAGACCGGTTGGATCTGGCGGGTAGGGCATTGATATGGCCTTTTCTAGCTAGATCCACCATGGATCTAGCTGGAAAAGGCCAGATCTGAACATCGACTGCTGCAAATGTCCATCTTTGGCCGTCGTTGACAGCTAGATCTAGCCTTTTCCAGCCAGATCCACTATGGATCTGGCCGAAAAAGGCCAATTCAGTGAATTACCGACCATTTTCAGTGGTGGTGTAGACCGTTGTGACAGATTCCAGCTACCATCGGCGGTATTTAATGAAACTAATAAACTTAAAGGGTCTAAAAGTAATTAAAAAAATAGACTAATATTTCTCAAATAATGTGATAAACAATATTTAGGGAATATGTTTGAGAATATGGGTAAAAATAATAAGTCAAACGGAGCCTTAATTAGAATTCACCAAAATTAAATATTTTATTTTTTCCGAATTATTCATTCTATTGCTAAAAAAATGAGAGGTACTAAACCATGAATTCGGATTTTAAATATTCCTCTTATATTTAGGCGTATATAATATTTTGAACTTAAAAAGCTTGGAGTAATGTTAGTTTAAAATACTAAAAACTATATATTAGATTGAGATATTATAACATTGACTATATATAAGAGGATGATTAATTTCAATTTGTGTTAAAAGTAAATAACTTTAATTTTACCTTCAACATCTTTTAATGGAAATTAGTTAACACTTAATAATGTTAATAATTTTGGTTAACAACTAATAATGGTATCGTGACCCTTACTTACTTACATGATTACAACGTCAAGGGACAAATCCAACTTAATAACATTATCCTATTACGTAGAATCAATTATTTGTCCTTTTCATATAAATCTAAACACTTATATTTATGATTATATGAAGGATTTTATGAACTTTAGTTTTTAATATCGAATCCGTATCGAGGATAAGATGATTTTGTCATTTTCGCTTGTAAGAATAAACAAACAATATTATCCAAACATTCAAGAAACTTTAAATAAATTTATGGAATCTTATTAACAAATTCGGTGTTTACCTGTTTGGTATGAAAAAACAATATAGAAAATGAGAGAATAAACTAAAAAAAAAAAAAATATTAGATTTATTTACTAATTAAAGGGAAGTACACTTTACACGTTTATTCCTCTATATAAAGACACATTTACCTTGAAGAGAAAATGTTAAATAATAATAATAATAAGAAGAAGAAGAAGTTACAAATTGTTAGTATTATAGTGGTGTAATTGCAAGAAAATAAACTTACAACACAAATTGATATTTCCGCTATCATGTTTCTACACCTGCTTTTTATATCAACTCATCCATCTTTTGCGAGATCATCGGCTTTCAGGCTCCTCTTCCTCCTTTTTATTTCACTGTTTTATTGGGCTTTTTTTCTTATTTACAAAACTTTCTTTACAATGGGTTTGGCCCCATTTCATTTAACCCACGTTACTTTAATCTTAATTTCGACTCCTACATTGCGCCCTTTTTTTTTTTTTTACCAATTCGTTGAAATTGATTCTCATATAACCTATAAATAGTTTTTTTTGGAGTTTCGGATTAAGCTGGTAGAAAGGTGACAAATGCAAGACCTGCATACATAGTCTCACTTGAAACTTTCCCATACATAGTCTCACTTGAAACTTTCCCATAAATATATATATATACACAAAGTTAGGACCCAAACAATGTAGCTACTTATGTACCAACACATACTTTGTTTATAGGGTAATAGGAATTATAGGATAAGTGAGTAATTTCCTTGTGATAAATTTAGTTTCTAACATATAAATTGACACATTATTTGAGATTAAAAAAAAAAAGATTTTTACATCGCTTATGTAAACCACCAATGGGTGACCTGATGGTAAAAGAGCAAAATGAGGTTTCATGAGCTCCTGAGTTCGAGTGTCCTCGAGCACCAATAGAGGTAGTCATTGGGACTCTTATCCAGTCGATAGTTTCAGGATCCTACGGGATTAGTTGGGTTACGCGCAAGCTTACTAAGACACCCCATGTGATAATTTAGACCAAAAGCTAATGTCAGCGAGCATCAATCAGAGTTCATGAAAGTTTTGCGCCATCCAAAGTCTGCTACATCGCCCAAGATAGAAAGAATATAGCTGTTAAAAACCCAGCCGACTTAAGTTTTGTCTATAAATGAATTTGGTTCGCACACCTGTCTAAACCCGATTTAATTTAAGGATATTTCTTAAGTTATCAACCAATGGGATGCCAAGAGAGATTTGCACGACACCTCCCCACTTGTAGATATGTAATCATCATCTTGAGCTCAACGGGTATAAATAGGCAACTCCCCCTCACAAAATCGAGATCAGACACTCTGAATTCAACAAAAAAAAATACAAAGACACACCATGGGAAAAACACTGGCTTGATACTCTTCAAGAAAACTTAGAGCACCAAACACCTGTAACCCAGAAAGCAGTTCGCAACCACTTGTAATCTTGGCTAATAACTAGGAACTCACTCATGTAAAAGAAAATTATGGATGTAGGAATCGCTTTAAGCATCCGAACCACTATAAAAACTTTCACTATCTCATTTATTTTTTACGTCTTTCCATGCTATTGTGATAGTAGTACTTTATTTAACTCTTATAATCATTCACGTGTAATTTCTGGGACTTTTTTAGAACTTTATACTTGCGAGTTGGTTAGCGTCAAAATCAAGCATCAACAAGTACTATTATTATTTTCAAAAACACAGTATTTAAATCGTTAATCATAAACCTTATCACATCCATTTTCTTTCTTGCAAATGTGTAATTAAATTTAAACCCAATCAATTGTAAATTATTTTGAAAACGTATTCTTCATTTCATGCTCGATTATTTGAATATAAAATGTGTAAATATGTGGTTAAGCTATAACAAAATGTAAATGAAGAATAAAACAAAATACAAATTATGATTTAAATTTAGCAGATGTATCCGCTAAGACATAATTATAAATCAACCAAATAGTCAATTCAACATAAGAATGTAAAAATTATTTGGATTTACTTTTGGTGTGTTTGATTTAGAAAATGTTGTATTACTGGAAAGATAGATTATCATAAAGATTACTGAAAATATTTAACGAAATACGTTTGGTTGGTTGAAATCAATTTGTGAGTATGTTATAACAATAATGCTAGGGACACCGATTTTTTTACACCGAAATCTTGTACCGGCTTACGTGTTCTATAATTTACACCAGCAGATCAGATACGTTTCACGTTATTAATTTTTTTTTCTAGTAAACAGCCGTTCATCAACTATGGACGGCCGTTCACTTACGATGGACTCCCGTCCATATTTTATGGACGGGGGTCCATTTACTACGGACGAGCGTCCCCATTTAAAGGACGCCCGTCCATCAATAAAATAGAATAATTTTTTTTTATAAAATTAGGGATGGTCGTTCATTAGTTATGGATGGTTGTCCCTTGATTTTGAACGCCTGTCCATAAACTGTGGACGAGCGTCCCTTAAGTTTGGAGGAATGGACGCCCGTCCTTTTCGTTCTTACTCACTGTCATTGCCGTCTTCCAAATACCTTATTTGAATGCAGTTAGGGAATTCTTTCTTGGCCATCCTGTCTTCCCTTCTTTATTTTTATTTAGCAACCCACGTGCAATCTCCTCCATTCTTGTGGGTCATAAGAGAAAATCAAAATGAAGAGGAAGATGGAAAAGACCCATCAGATATCTTCAACTATGGCCGATGATTTAGTTGGAGTAAAATGGTTCATCCCCAAAAGAGAAGAATCAGATGGAGGGGCTTAGAAGGAAATACAAACACAGATGATGCTGCGTTAGACGACAGAAACTCGGTTGAATATCTCACTGAGCTCACTGTAACTTTAGGCAATGATTAGGAACCTGAGGCAAGTGGCACAGTTTTGTAACTGAGGATGTGCTCAGATTTTGGAAGAATGGAAATTGTATCATTGTGAGACCCAGACAACACAAAACTTTTTGAATCTGCCAAAGAGAACTTGACCTCTTGAATCAACTGTGTCTGGTTCCGAATTTTAACCAAGGATACCTTCTTGAAGAGTACTTCTGTAAGTATTGTGCAAGTAAGCAGGATTGCTGTCTTTTTAGTTTTGGAGAAATTGAAAAATCAAATGGCTACCTGCATTTGGGATAACTCATTAAGATAAAATGTCCCAGTATAAATTCAAGAATAATGTATTACTCAATAGAATACACCATAAGTTTCTCTGTGAATGGTCATTTTTGGATTTCTTGATGAATTAATATTTACTAGGTAGCCACATGTAGTTTGATGTGTTCCTATTTTATTGCAGCAACCGCCGTCAGAATAAAACTTTATGCATGGAGAAACTTTCACTAGTACTTCTTGAAATGCCACCATATTTTCCCCGGCAGTTTGGCTGCTGTGCTGTTATTGGTAACTCAGGAGATCTTTTGAAAACAAGGTTTGGGAAGGAGGTAGATGGTTATGATCTTGTTATTAGAGAAAATGGAGCCCCCATCCAGGTTAGTCTACGACTAAAGCCCTTGATAAAGTTTTGGAGTTAGGCTAAACTGATTGAAGATATTTGG